CCCTCCTGCCCCGGCCCCGCGCCGCCCCGCACACGCTGGCACTGCAGGCGCTGGTGCCTGCGCCCCTTCCTCCCCTGCCTTGGCCCCTGCCTGCTGCATGGGGTCGGGTCCAAGGGCCCGGCTCCGGCTCTGCGGAAGCAGCGAGACGTCCCTCCGGCCACTGCCCCTTTCAGCCGCCTGCTCAGCGCCCCCACGGTGGCCTGGAGCCCCCAGGAGCAAGGCGCCGCCAGCCTCCCCTTGCTGCGAACACAGCACTACAGGGCCCTGGGAATCGCCCCCCCCAGCCTGGCACCCCCGAAGACGCGCCGTGTGCCCATCCAGCCCCAGCACTTCGCTGAGCCGGGCATCGGGGCAGGCAGCAATGCCGGTGCCAGCTGGATCCTCTGGCTGAAGCGATGCCCTTGGGACGGGGGACGTGCTTGTGGGGGCCGTCTGTGCAGGACGCGGGAGTTTCCCCCCGCCTGGCCTCTCCCACGCGTGGGGCATGTGCACCCTGTCGTGTTTACAGGACGAGGCCCTGGGGCCTGACCTGCTGCGTGGAGGGGTCAGGGGTGGGTGTGGGGGTCACAGACAGCCGGGCGGGGGAGGCCGTCCGTCCAGGCCGTGCCCAGGGCAGGGAGCAGCCCCGATGCCTTCGCTCACCGGCCTGCTTGCAAAGCCGGGGCAGCGGCCGGGTCGTGGCTCGCTGCGTGGCTGCGCCGTGGCCTGGATGTGCCGGGAGCGCCCGGGGAGAGGCTGGTGGGAGCCCTGGCAGAGTCGGGCTCTCTCGGGCCGCTGTTGTCCAGGCGGAGCAGGCCGGCTCACGGGGCCCTGCGCTGCGGCCGGGGCACGCTCACCCCCGGGGCTCTTGACCGGCCCCCGCGCAGGACGCGGGATGGGGGCGTTTCGGCTAGGGGATGCGCCGCGTGGGACCCGCTCCACGGGGAAGTGTCTCGTTGCTGGGCCCTTCTGGGACCGGAGCCGTGACAGACCCGTGGGTGCATGCACGTGTGCCCCCACTGCCCGGCACATCCCTGCCCTGGGGGCTCAGGGCCCGATCCCAGCCAAGGCGATGCCCAGGCACCAACGCTTCCCTGGAGGCTGCGCCAGGCCGCGCCCCTGCAGGGCAGTGCTTGGACGGACTCCAGTGCCCCCGGACAGCCCCTCCCCCCAGGGCAGATCCCAGCCAGTGGCCCCAGCCCTGAGACCCCCCCGGCACTGCATGAAGGGGTGCGTGCTCGGGGCAGGCCTTGGTGCTGGCGGCTGCTGCAGCCTGCGCTTGTGGAGGCTGCTCTGCGCCGCGGGAGTCACGGAGCCGCGAGCTGCTCGCGGCAGGGCTGCCAGGCACGGCGCGGGGCGGGTGCGGGGCTGGGAGCTCCTCAGCACCTCGTATGCCAGGTAGGCTCTTCCCCGTGGCAGGTCCCTGCTGGCCGCACGCTTTGCCCCCCGACGCGGCTCTGCAGGCCATCGAGGGGCCTCAGGCCAGACTGAGGCCGGGAATGCTTCGCTGTGCCCAAACACGCAGGGTGTGCACTGCAGGGCTCAGCCGTGGCTGCGCTGGTGAGCCCGGGCCTCAGCTGTGCAGGGCTTGGCGGTGCCCTGCGTGGGGCGGGGGTGCCCCTTTGCTGGTGCCGGAGCGTGGGCAGGGGGCAGTGCTGTCAGATTGGTTAGAAAACACTGAAGGGTGAAGAGAAAGTCGCTAGGGAGCTATCACAGACCCGCAACGAGCAGGTTTAAAGCTAGGAGCCGGGCGGGCTGGTCCACCCAGCGTGGGATTCAGGTGCAGGACCCGTGGCCGCCAGCCGTGGGGGAAGCTGAGCGCGCCAGATCCACAGGGCCTGGACACACGCTTGGAGGGAAGGGGCAGCAGCAGTTACTGAGCGCGGGAGTGAGGGGCACGGCCTCTGCATTGGCCCTTAAATGCTGGAGGCTGCAAGGGAGCGTGGACCAGGGGAAACCCCTGCTCGGACCCGTCGTCCTCCCTCTAGCCTCCACTCTCCGCCACTGCGCGACGCTGCCCTTCTGATGCGCCATGGGGTCGGTGGCTAAAGCCCCCAAGTCAAGCTGTCAGCCCCTCTTAGCAATGGGAGCCACTAAGGCTGCTTCCCTGGGACAAACGTAAACGCAGCAGGGACCGGAGCGAGGGTCACGGGTTTGCAAGGAGTGCGTTAAGGGGGGGCCGCAGTGCAACCGGGCAGGATGGGCCCACGGTCTGACGCAGTAACTGGCCGCTCTGGTGTTGTGCTGTGACCCACGCGGCTGGCTACACGGTCCCAGAGCAACCCAGCCCCTGCCTCACCTCTAGCTCCAGGCCAGGCCATCCCGTAGCTTCAGACCAGTTGCAAACTGGGGCTGGCCCCCCCCGGCAGAGAGGCAGGGCCTGGCACCCAGCACCTTCATGCTCCCCTGGGGCCCTTGCGCGGTCTCCTGAGCTTGCACCTGCGACGGCGGCTGCCTGGGAGCAGGAGGGACAGGGCAGGCACTGGGGCTGGTGTGCAAGGCCCCACTGCCCTGCGGTGCCTTCGCACGGTGCGGTGTGGGGAGCACTGTCTATACTAGGGCCTGGGGGTTGGTTGCAGCCAGGCCCCCGGGGGCACGGTTTGCACGCCCCAGCCGGCACCGGCTAACGCTCTGTCTCTCGGCCGCAGATGGGAAGGTGTACAGCTCCGACGAGGAGAAGCTGGAGGTGAAGTCGGCCGCGACGCCCTGCAGCGAGCGGGAGGAGGAGAGCTCCGCGGGGGACAGCGAGGACGAGAGCTTCCTGGACGGGGCCGAGCGCGGGCCCCTGGGGCCCAAGCCCAAGCCCAAGGGCGGCGCGGGCGGGGAGCAGGCGCCGCCCGGGTCCAACCCAGGCAAGAGCCGGCGGCGACGCACGGCCTTCACCAGCGAGCAGCTGCTGGAGCTGGAGAAGGAGTTTCACTGCAAGAAGTACCTGAGCCTGACCGAGCGCTCCCAGATCGCCCACGCCCTCAAGCTCAGCGAGGTGCAGGTCAAGATCTGGTTCCAGAACCGCCGCGCCAAGTGGAAACGCATCAAGGCCGGCAACGTCAACAACCGCTCAGGGGAGCCCGTCCGCAACCCCAAGATCGTGGTGCCCATCCCCGTGCACGTCAACCGCTTCGCCGTGCGCAGCCAGCACCAGCAGATCGAGCAGGGCAGCCGCCCCTGAGCCCCCGGCGCCCACCCAGGGGA